GTCTCTCTACGGCCTTTACCGCGGCCTTTTCCCCCAAAGAATATCTCATCATGTTGTTCATCTGAGAGCCTCTGGAGAAATGCCGCGATACCTCGCCCGTTCAACCTCCGACGACCACGCTTGCCTTTACCCTTTCCTTTAAAACTTCTGCGTATCCTCCTTCTAACACGACGCACTGGTTTTCGTGTGAACCTCCTCCACCTTCGCTTAGCCTGTTGTAACAGCCAGAATAAATGCTCAGCACGCTGATTGTCGTTATCCATATTCATGATATCTGACCAATCTAGAGCTTCAACACCATCTGATGATATAGTGTCTGTGTCGGTGCCGGAGTCGAAATCTTCGTCTCCTAAATAGGTGGATACACCGTCGGTTAGGGGATTTGATTCCCCCCATAACGAGCGGTGTGGTTGTGGTTCTCTAGAAGGAGGGCTGGTTGCCCAGCTTGGTTGTGATCGATCCCCTGCTAATAAAGCAGTGGATTCTCCTGGGTCATCGGCCCATATGTTTGAGGGCCCGTTTCCAGGCTGGACTTCAGTAGTCAAGGTAGTGTAGAAATTTCCACTACCAGATCCCCTTCCTCTTCCAAACACGGATCCTATGTTGCCAGGGGATCGTTCGGATAGGTGACCTACCGAACGCATCCTTTCCAGCAGCTCATCATATTGTTGTTGTGTTCGAGGCATTTGGTGGTTGAGTGGCTGCAAGAGTTGCGTGGCTTTCTGGTTGCCGACGCCTAAGGCGCGGAATAGGATAGTAGTTAGCAGTTGGAAGTTAGGAAGGTCGAATCCCACCGACTGTGCCTCAAGTCGGGCCATTTCGAATCGGGTAAGAGTGACATCGATTCGTTCCCCGTGAGGCACATGGAAGTCGATGAGTTGTGTGCCGGAAGTGAGCTGTCGCTCATCTTCCAGGCGTTCGAACTTCATGCTGAGGAGGAACATGATGTAAGTTACTGGGTCCGTGTGGACCCCATCAATGTCAGCACCATAGTTTATAATGTCAGGCGGTACCCTCATGGCGAGTGTCCTCGCTAGGCCTCCCAGGCCGCGTTGTCTTGCGGCCGCTTGGGCCTGTGGCGTCATACGTCCGCTTGTAACGTTGAGCCACGCGTTGACCTCGTAAATGTACTCACGAAAAGGTACATTACCCTGAGGGTCCCAGTATGGGCCGTGTGTTTGCCCATCGGTGCTGTTATCTCCCCGGCGCATGTGTGCGATTGCTGCCCCCAGCGCGAACCATATGATAGCGAAAACGATTAGCCCAAGAATGTGTAACGAAGAATGGTTATGATGAGCGGTGTCACGCTGGGGTAGCGCCTTGTCGAGTCTTCGAGGCGCTCTGTCTGGCGGGTTTCCCCGCCCTTGCTTCAGGTATTGCGTTATTGGCTCGTTGCCGAGCGGTTGATAGTAACGCAATGATGAAGCGTATATGGTACCAATCTGGTCGTCTAGACGTCGTACCTCTCGTGTAGCTTCTTGCTCTTGAATAGATCCTCGTAAATGTACTGGGAGTGGTGGCGCAGGGTAGTAGGTGGTCACGAAGATCGTGCCGAAGAATGTGAGGCTGAGAAGAGCAAGAGCTGACCACACGAGAGTGCGGCCAGCTCCGCTACCAAGTCGAAAGTGGGTGGGCGGATAAGATAGGATAAGATCGATGTAATGATCTTTCCAGCACATAGCGAACACTCGCGGTGTCCGGGCAAATAGGGCGCGCGTGCCTTGAGCCCAAGGCAGCGGCGCGCGAGCTATGCTCCCGATACTGTAACATCTCCCAAAGAGCTACCCCTAAAGTGCCACAACGCTCGGCGACGTGGGCGGGCGGCGGTGATTCGTCGTAGGCGTCTTCGATCCGTCGCCCCCTGTTGGCTTGCCACATGGGTGCACGGCGTGCCGAACGTGAGGTAAACGCTGGTCCTTCGCAGAGGTTCTCAAAAGGCCTTCGGCACAACTCGCAGGCCACCCGGAGAGCTGCGCAAACTTCGGTATCCAGTGGGCTCCCTCCCCAAGACTGCCCGAACGTGGCCTCCTGGACGGTCGAGATGGCCTCCAAGATGGCCATAATGACTCCAAGAAGGCCCAAGATGCTCCCAAGAAACATCCAAAACGGCCAAAAAGGTCTCCAAGAGCCCCTCCAGGAAGGGACCAAGAGGCCAACACCATTGATTCAAACAGCAAGTCTTTGAAGGATTTCGGCCCCCCGACAGCCCCAGACAACCACTCAAGGTCGCCCCAGCGCGCCCCAGAGCGTCTAAAAGGCGCCCAAGGTGGCACCGAAACGGCCCACAGAGGGCCCGCGAGGCGTCCCAGACGCCTAAGACGTCCTCCAAGACGGTCCTTCAGCGCCCCAAAAGGCCCCATGACGACCCAGACTGGCCCCCTTAAAGCGGTCCCCGACGGCGTCTGACGAGCCAGAAGCGCCCTGAGACGACCAAAGCGGCCCCCAAGAAGCGCGCAAACGTTCCCAAGAGGTCCAAGGAGGCCCAAAGAGGCCCAACGAAACACCAGGAGCACCCTAATACGCACTTTGTCCAGCGCGGCGCGCAAGACGAAATCCGCTCGCGCGTGCAGCAACATCGGGCTGCGGAGTCGCGAAGGACCGAATCTGCTGATGATGATCATGATGTTGCTGATGATGTTCATGCTGCTGATGGTGATGATGACGACGATGACGAGGGGGATGGGGATGATGATGAAGCGGAGGAGAAGGAGGAGGAGGAGGAGGAGGAGGAAGAGGAGGAGGAGGAGGAGGAGGAGGAGCTCGGGGAGGACGGGCGAGGACGAGGATGCGGATGATAGGAGGAGGAGAAGGCGGAGGAGGAGGAGGAGGAGGAGGAGAAGGAAAAAAGGGGGAGGAGGAGGGAGAGGAAGAGGGAGGAAGAAGGAGGAGGAGGAGGAGGAAGAGGCGGACGAGGAGGAGGAGGATGGGTGGACAAAGGAAGAACGAATGGGAGGAAAGGAGGGAGACGAGGAAGACGAGAGGGAAAATGGGGGGGAGAGAAACGAGGAAGACAACGAGGATGAGTAGGAGGGATGAAAAGGAGGAGGAGGAGGAGGAGGAGGAGGAGGAAGAGGAGGAGGAGGAGGAGGAGGACGAGGAGGACGGGGAGGAGGAGGGGAAGAAAGAGGAGGAGGCGGAGGACAACGAGAGGGGGGTATGAGGGGGAGGAGACGGAGGGGGAGGAGGGGGAGGAGGACGAGGAGAGAGAGACTTAGACACCCCTGGGCGAAGACAAGCAGCGTTCTCCGACTGACTGTTAACTACGCTGGGCGGCGTGACTACGGGCACTGACAGCGACAGCTATGTACAAGCGTACTGCGCCGCGCGGGCGCTGGCAGGAGCTCTGCGCGGGCCCCCCAGCAATCCAGCGGAACAAATAGCGCTGGGGTAGCGACCCGAGGCGCCCTCTCAGACAGTTCAAAGAAGGAGAGCCGGGAGGGAAGCGTCGCCCGGGCCCGAAAACAACGAATCGATCGCACAGCGGACGGGGGGCAAAAAGGAGGGAGCGGGGCGCAATCAATCGTAGTTCGTTCAGGCTTGTCTTCACCACCCGCGTGACTGAGCTTCACCGCCTTCCCAAGTCTCTTAATGACTCGCGAGCGAATAGAGAGAACACGGTAGCTACATTGATGGCCCTCGGGCCCGCCCTCGGCGGCGCTCCGCCTGTGGCTGTCCATTGCGTCGGCCGCAGCATTGTGCCTGGCGCGAGCCCCTGGGATGGGTCCCCCCGCGCGGCCCAATCCACCTGAGATATGAGGGGCTGGAGGAGGAGGAGGAGGAGGAGGAGGAGGAAGAGGACGAAAAACAGGAAAGGGAGATCCATGGGCGCCTCCGATGGCCGGACAACCATCTTTTCTGATTGCCGCTCGGTGTCCGCCAAGGGACGGAGGGGCCAGGGTGAGCGGGGCGTGCATCAAGCCGCACCCTCAGCTCGATATGACAGTGGCGAGAGCAACCACTCTGCCCCTTTGCCCCTCTGCCACGGCAAGAAGTATGGAACGGCCAACACAAGGCGAGAGCAACCGCCAACTGTACATGTAAGCTCGGCTGTTCCGTCTTGCCTCGATTCTCGGAGTGGTGATGAGCTGGCGTAGGCGCGCGTGCAGTCACGCCCGCAGTGCGCTATAATGCATGTACACGCGATGGGAGAGCGGGTCATATTCTACTGCTACACATACATACATATTGTTGTGCATGTACACACCTATAGATGTACATAAACGCACGTTCATGTATGTATGCCGTGTATGTATGCATATGTGTACATCTATACACATTCACACACATGTTGCCAACGGGACACTTGTCGATCTCACTATCGATCTCACTCAACGGGGCACCACGGGACACGATGGGCCACCGCGGGACACCACAGGACACCGCGGGACATCTCTTGATCTCACTATCGGTCTCACTATCAATATCACTATCGATCTCAATCAGCGGGACACCATAGGACACCACGGGACACTTCGGGACACCACATCGATCTCACTATCGATCTCGCTATCGGTCTCCCTCAACGGGACACCACGGGACACCTGTCGATCTCACTATCGATCTCACTATCGATCTCGCTTTTTGGGACACCAGGGGACACCTCGTGGCACCACATAGATCTCAGTATCGATCTCAGTATCGATCTCACTCAACGTGACACCGCAGGACACAACGGGACACCGCAGCACCGCGGGCCACCGCCGGACGGACGGAAGGCGGAGGAGCATCATTTGTCTTGACTTCGCCCTAGCAGCGGCGGGTTCATCCCTCTCGCGCGCCCACGCAGCTTCGCCTCGCCCGCACGCACGACACGAACGAAACGAAGTCCCACTGCGATCTCACCCCCCAACCTCCGACAAGCATATGTGTGCGCAGACTTGGTATATTCGTACCATACATATGAAGAGCTGTACGCGCTATCGTTGACGCTCTTGAGACCGACCGAACGGCGAGGGGGGAGAGGCGGCGGCCGGCGGGCGCCGGCGGAGGCGGCGGCCCTCCTCGAGCAGGCCGACCTTCGAGGGCGGAAGGGGGAGGGGCTCGGAGAGCGCCGTCGCCGACGTCCGCGGCATCTGTCGCGTGCCGTCTGCCGTCGCCGTCTGTCGGTGTCTGTGTCGTCTGTCGTCTGTCGTCGTCGCCATCGTCGTCAGCGTCGCTCCAGCGGAACAAGAATGCGTATGCGGGCCCTTGCTGGTCCTTGGGGCCGTCAACAACGGCTCAGGATGAGAAATCAATCCTGGGGAACGGGTAGAGACCTCTCGGGGTTCTAAGACGGCCTCCAGAGACCCCAAGAAGTCCCCAGGAGCGCATATAGAGGCCGCCAGAAGGGCCCCCGATCTGCCCCAAGATGCCCCTGGGGTTGCGGTAAGGCCGCCAGAAGTGCCCCCGATCTGCCCCAAGATGCCAATGCCCCCTCCTCCTGCGGACAGTGCGGTAAGGCCACGCCACGGTTCTCTGCTAGACTCGCTGAAATACCGCGGCAGCTCTCACTGGCTGGACACCTTGACTGAACTGAGGCTCGCATCAAGAGGGTGCACATCTCCTTTAACGGCGGCCGAACAGGCTCAGACGCCGAGTGGGCTCCAGAAGGAACCCGTGGACCTGTCGCGAAGCGACTTCTATGTACCACGATGTTGAAGCAAACCCAACCATGGCGACGGGGTCGTCGCCAGAGCCCCAAAAAGCAGACGTCGCAACCTCAACATCGCTTGCCCGATCTGGTCCCCATTCCCAGTGGGTCACGAGTCTCGAGGTGGGGATAGATGCCGCGAAACCCGACGGAGACAGCATCTATCTCCACCTAGCGGGGTGGGTCGGACAGCGTGGCCAAGGCTTTCCTAGTAAGGGGTCGCCCCCTCCCTGGTCCTGGCTGCGCCTGGGCGAACAAAGCCAGTCAAGGCAACGACGGCTCTCCCGTCTGGCCAGAATGCTGTCAGAACCGGTCCCAGGACTCCTCCCGCGGCCCACCTCCACCCGAGGCGGGCCCAACCGTGTCGACGAGAAATCTCGAGTGGCTATGGAGGCCTCCCAAATTGGGTCCGAGTAAGTGGGGTCGGAGGATCGCGTCGCATCGCCCATGCATCGCCGACGTCGTCGACGCACCTGCGACGCCGGCTTGGAGAATATCGGGCTTCGCATCGAGTCGCATCGCCGATGCATCAGCGATGCAGCGCGATCCACCAACGCTACGGCCGGGAAATTTTGGATAGCATGTCGCCGCAGCGGCCCCGGTGGCACGCTATGCCCTGCGAGCTCATAGCGCGTCGCTCCGCTCTGCGGGGAGCGAGGCTAAGAAACGCTCGGGACGTTGACGCTTGTGGACCGGGGAGTGGATAGCGTGTCACGCCGGAGCGTGGTGGACCAGAATCCGAGGAACTACAAGCTATCCAAAAGTGCCCGACCGCATTTCGATCTCGTCTTGGTGGCCTGGACTGGAAGTTCTCCGATTATCCCTCTCTGGGGGCTCCACCTTGGCGAACAGGGTGCGCGGCTGCCCGTTGCTGCCCGGGGGCAGCCACACCAGGCGCGGCTCGGACACGCGGAGCTCCAGGGTCCGCAGGGCCTGCGGGGGCGAGCACTGGGAGGTGGTAGGAGGAGAAAGGAGGAGAACTTGTCACTCGGGCCGTGCCGTGACGATGGGTGACGCCAAGGAACCAGCTCCCACAAGAGGGCTGAGAGATGACCCCGCGGGGGCCTACGCGGAAGCGCAAGATTAAGGCAGACGCCGTGGAGATTACACGGGCAGCTTGGACCAGAAGGGCCTCGTGCTCTTCCTGGAGCTGCCCGTCAAGCTGTACTTCCTTATCGTTGAGGAGAAGCCTGGCCAGAAGAAGAAACCCGGGGCAGCTCGAGGACGGCAAAAAACGATGCGGCGTAACGACATGTCCGTGCTGGGGGGCGGGCTCCACAGGACCCTGAGCCAATGAGGCGGGAGAGTCGGGAGCTTCGGGTGCCTCTCAACTTCGCCAAGCAAAGAATATGCCTCGACAGATATCTCCTGCAGTCGGGCGTGCTTGCTACGCGTGATACGGGACCACAGGTCCCTGTTCTTACGAATGGGTCTTCGCTTACACCCTTCACACGAGAAGACCAACGGGACCAGCGTGGTGTAAAACTTACAAGCCACGCCTACAAAAAGCGGATAACCGTCATAACACATGGCCTCATGAACGGCACCGCAACAACCCGAAGCCGAGGGGCGGTCATGCTTGTGCTTGTACCTGAGACTCGTGGAGCATCTGTTTGTACCTGGGATCAAGCCTGGGCAACAAGTGTAGGAGCCTCACTGAAAGACGCACTGCAAAATTTGTTGCACGAAGCTGCCAGGTCAAAGTGTCTGAGGGAGCGGTACCCAACGAAAAAACACTCAGCCACCGCGGGGAGGTGAGCCGACAATAGGGAGCACCCACCCCCCTGCACACATCAAGGGGGGCGAGGCGAGAGAGAGAGAGAGAGAGAGAGAGAGCATCCCCCCCCGCCCTCCTCGCAGCACTCCAGTCTCTCTCTTCCCCTCTTGCGCGCTGGAAGGGGAGCCACCCCGCCCAGTACTCAAAGTCCTTTCTGCCCCCCCCTCCGCGCGGGGAGGGTAGAGCCCCTCCCCAGCGCTCGAATATGTTCCTTTTTCCCGCCCGCGCGGGAAGAGGGAGGCCCCCCTGCCCACGACACTCGAACCTCTTTCTCCCCCCCCCGCGCGCTGGAGAGGGACAGTCCCCACCCCTCGCTAGAATCTCTCTCTCCTGCCCCCTCCCCCCAGCACTTGAATTTCTTTTCCCTTTCCCCGCGCGGTGGAAGGAAAGGCCTCACCCTTAAGCACTCGAATCTCTCTCCGCCCTCCTGCGCGCCTGAGGGAGAGCCCCCCCCCCATCCAAGCACTCGAATTTGCTTCTCCCCCCCTCCCCCCGCGCTGTCCAGGGAGCCCACCCCCACCCCCAAGCACTCGAGTATCTCTCCCTCCCACGCGCGCTGGAAGGGGAGCCTCCCCCCTGTGCTGCCCCCGCCCCCCCCTCCAGCAACGCTTGAACGGGGCAACCGTTTCACACGTCGCAGCGCAGCAGGGATGGCGAGGTCCCGCCTGGGTCTGCGTGGGCCCCCACTGCGCTGGCCCCCCCAAGCAGCCCTCGAAAGAGGCGAACATTTCACACTGCGCAGCCCCCCAACGATGGCGAGGTCCCGTTTGGGTCTGCGTGGGACCCCACTGCGCTGGCCCCCCCAAGCAGCCCTCGAAATGGCCGACATATTCACACGTCGCAGCCCCCCAGGGATGGCGAGGTCCCGCATGGGTCTGCGTGGGACCCCACTGCGCTGGCTCCGCCAGCAGCCCTCGGAAGGGGCGACAATTTCACACGTCGCAGACCCCCCAGGGATGGCGAGATCCCGCATTGGTCTGCGTGGGACCCCACTGCGCTGGCCCCCCCAGCAGACCTCGAACGTTGCGACAATTTCACACGTCGCAGCCCCCCAGGGATGGCGATGTCCCGTTTGGGTCTGCGTGAGACCCCACTGCGCTGGCCACCCCCCAGGCAGGCCTTGAACATGGCAGCAATTTCACACGTCGCAGCCCCCCTGGGATGGCGAGGTCCCGTTTGGGTCTGCGTGGGACCCCACTGTGCTGGCTCCGCCAGCAGCCCTCAAAAGATCCGACAGGTTCACACGTCGCAGCCCCCCAGGGATGGCGAGATCCCGCATTGGTCTGCGTGGGACCCCACTGCGCTGGCCCCCCAGCAGACCTCGAAAGAGGCGACAAGTTCACACCTCGCAGCTCCCAAAAGGGATGGCGAGGTCCCGTTTGCGTCTGCGTGGGGCCCCACTGACTTCGCAGCCCATGGCGATGTCCCGTTTGGGTCTGCGTGGGATGTGCTGCCCCCCCCCCCAGCAACCCACGAACGGAACGGCCGTTTCACACTTCGCAGCCCTCCGCGACGGCCAGGTTCCATTTGAGTCTGCGTGGGACCCCACTGTGCTGGCCGCCCTAGCAGCCCTCGAAAGGGGCGACAACTTCACACGTCGCAGCCCCCCAGGGATGGCGAGGTCCCGTTTGGGTCTGCGTGGGACCCCACTGTGCTGGCTCCGCCAGCAGCCCTCGAAAGGGGCGACAATCTTACACGTCGCAGCCCCCAGGGATGGCGAGGTCCCGTTTGCGTCTGCGTGGGACCCCACTGTGCTGGCCCCCCCCAGCAGCCCTCGAAAGTGGCGACAGATTCACACCTCGCAGCTCCCAAAAGGGATGCGAGAGGAGAAAGCGGAGAGGAGAGGTGGGGGGGAGGAGGAGGAGAAGGAGAATGAGACGGCGACCTCACTGCTATTCAAAACGAAAACCAGCCAAGGAGGGGTTGGTAAAAACACTGTGTCCTGTATTGCTTGTTCCAAGACATTGCATGGCATGCTTGCCTCCAAAAACGTTGAAGCTATTCAAGACTGTCAGGGCGCAACAGTTGCGTTGATTCGCGGTGCTGACACCCCAGGAACGGAGTTCTGGCGCGATTCAGGGTCGTCAAGACGCAACACACAAGTTGACCGTGGAGATGAAACTTTCAGAACATGGTGTTGGCACTCATCTGGATGTTTAACACGGTTGTCCCCCATCGGGGCAGTTCCGTCAGTGGAAATGAAGCCTTGTAGGGGCCTATAAAGAGGGAGCTTGGAGAGAGGATGTATCCAAACATCGTTGCTGAGTCTTGGGTTTAATTACGCTGGTCCTCCTCCTCCTCCTTCTTCTCCTCCTCCTCCTCCTCTTCCTCCTCATCTCTCTCGCAACGCCATCGAGCGATCCCTGTCGCCGTCGCGCAGCCGCCGCCACCCGTACGCGCGCGGGCGCCAGCCGACGAAGCGGGGGCCTACCCTTTCCGGAGGGAGGGGAAGAAGGGGAGGAGGCACTCACACTCCACTCAAACCATCCTGAGCCCACCGAGGGAGGGGGAAGGGGTGGTAGAGCGGCCGGGCTCCTCCTCATCTCCTCATCTCCTCATCTCCTCATCTCCTCATCCTCCTCCTCCTCCTCCTCCTCCTCCTCCTCCTCCTCCTCCTCCTCCTCGTCTCCCCCCTCCTCCTCCTCCTCCTCCTCGTCTCCCCCCTTTCCGAAACGGAGGTCCAGCAGTTGAAGTTGTTCGCAAAAGGCTGCGATTTGCTGTCCCCTCGCGCAAGTTTTTTGGGGTCTCGGGGGCCCTGGGCCGCCCCTGCCGGCCCGCGGCGCAGGGCGGCCTGCGGGGGCGACAGCGCGGCCGAGTTGCCCATGTGTGCGCGCCCGGCCTGCTGCGGGAGGGGCGGGCCCCCTTGGCGGCACGGCGGGGCGGCGCCGCTCGCGCGGACGGGATCTGTCAACATCGAATCGGGAGATTGTGGTGTCCATTGGAGCCTCCGTGGCCCCCGGTGCTGTCCGATTTGGGTCTGATGTGAACCGGCTGCAAACCATGACTACAGACGTATGTTTTGCGATATCGGCTTCTGTGTGCCCGTAGTGGGCCGCGTGGCTGGAATGACAGTGATGGTCTCGGCGAGCAAGCAACAATCTCTGCGATGGAAGCGAAACAGCGAGGGGCATCATTGTGAAACAATCGCGGTGAGCGGGGTTTGGGTCCAGCGGCAACCGAACGATCCTGCACCAATGAGGATTGCGTGAGCGAGCGGAAAATGCAGAGGCAGCCAGCCTGCAGGAAAAGCATGCTGCGGCAGGTTCAAGGGTTCAGCAAAGAGACGAGAGGAGTGCAAGGATGCGTGAACCGTTCGCACATGGAAGGCTGAGCAATGAACCGATGAGTTCGACTGGGCAGGAGCTTTCTGCACCGAGGCGCGACAACCGAGCACTGGTGCCGATTGCGAATTCGTCACAGGGAGCGAACTACTGCGCAAGAGAGCCACCGGTAGCGGAGAGGGACGACCTTCACGGGGATGGATCGCAGTCAGGGGGGCGGGCATTGCACTGACGAGGCATGCAAGAGGGCAAAGGCTCTGCAAGCAGAGACAACGCATCCATTGTCGTAACCGTGGGACATGAAGTTCGAACGTACCATGGACCCGACACACATTCGGTCATCGCCTGCCTCCTGGAGCGAAGTCGGAAACATGCATCTCCTGTTTTTGCACTGCAGAACGTCCAAGCCCGCAGCGAGGCATATGTCTGTCCAACTGTGGAGGCACGGCCGAAACCGCAGGGAGGCTGACCATGGAACCTCTCGACCACTCATCCACGCACTGCAGATGCGTGGCCTCAGGCGCGCATCTCGTGCGCGAGAGAAGGATATTATATATATATATATATGTATATATACATGTTTATATATATATATAGAGAGAGAAAGAGAAAGAGAGAGAGAGAGAGACAAGGAGCGGCAGAGAAAGAGAGAGAGAGAGAGACGGACAGAGAGCGACCAAAACCAACAACACAATACCACTATACAGAGAAACAGAGTGAGAGGGAGAGAGACAGAGAGAAACAGACATGGCATGGGGGAATGACATAAATACATATAAAAAACATATACATACGTAGAAAGAGAGAGAGAGAGAGAGAGAAAAAACATAGAGAGAGGGGGAAGAGAGAGAGAGAGACAAACAAAAAAGAAAGAAAGAGAGAGAGAGAGGGAGAGCGGGAGAGGGAGAAAGAGAGACCGATATATATAGAGAGAGAGAGAAAGACAGAGAAAACGAGAGAGAGAGAGAGATAAAGAGAGAGAGAGAGAGAGAGCAACAAAAGAGAGAGAGAGAGAGAGGATGTGCCTCGAGTGGTGCGTGTCGGTTCGCCGAAGGGCGTACGCCCTGCTGCGTGCGCGTGCACCCCGAGGGGCCTGGGGCCAGCGCAGCAGGGGCGGGAGGAGGCTGGAAACGCAGCGAGAGGAGCGAGGAGGCTGCCCGCGAAGCCGCGCGTCTACGCCCCCGCGGCCGCGGTCGCTGCGCGGAAGTTCTGCAGCTCCTGCAGGCTGGCTCGCTGGCTGGCATCCCCCTCCCCGCCTCCTTCTGGTCCTCCTCCTTTTCCTCCCCCACCTTTCCCTCGTCATCATTATTAAGTTCCTCTTCTTGGTTGTCCTGAACCTCCCCTCGTCGTCGTCGTCGTCCTCCTCCTCCTCCTCCTCCTCCAGTTGCTCCTCCTCTTCCTCCTCCTCCTCCTCCTCCTCCTCCTCTTCCTCTTTTTCTTCTTCCTCCTCCCTCCCCCCTCCTTCCCTCCTACTCCTCGTCCTCTATTTTCTTTCCCACATGATCGTTCTCCTGAGGGACGCGTCGGCCTGGAGCCGACGATACATCGTCAATACATCGGCGTAGTGGCCGGCGAAAAGCGAGACCACCCGTTCTTTGGCACGATGGGGCGCTCAAGCCCCAACTAGCGATGAATGGGCGATTGGATGTCGATGTTCACACCGGGGACACTGTTTTTGTCGTCCGTATTCGCACCGTCTTGGCGCTCCCGAAATATGGGAATGGACATCAAGAGCATATGTTGTCCACGTCAGGGTCGACAGTGGCCGACGTTGGGCAGGCGACTTTAGCTTCAAATGGGCAACGTCCGCGTCGTCACCGGCAGCAAGTCACCATCAAAATTAACAAGAGACGTTGTTGGGTTCCACGAGCGGTTTTCCGTCCCGGTTTCGTGGGCAATCACATATGGACCCTGCCCGTGCAGGCCAGACTTTTGAAACGCTGGCTGGGGCTCAGGATCCGAAGGACGTCTGCGCTGCCAGGTGGACCAAGGCGGGGGCGTCCGACACCCAAGCGTCGATGAATCCGCAGGGGTAAGGTTCGCCATTGGTCGCAGACCAACTGTTAAGCGACGCTAGAAGCGGTCCTGGCCCCAGGTATCCCCAGCGTTTCGGGCCACGCTGGAATTCCTGGGGCCCTTTGAGCCCTGGGCCTCGTGGAGGGTGCCGTGGAGGCCGCCTGCGCCCCCCTGGAATCATCGGGGCACGTTGGGTTAAGCACACCTTTGACGTTGACAGCACCCGAAGATGGCTCAAGTGGCCGTCCATCGCGGACGGCACAACATGCCGACAACGCGGCCCACGCTCGCCCAGCACTTGGGCATGGGGAGTGGCGAGCTGTCCGCGCAGGAGTGGGCAAAAACAATGTAGAGATCTGGCCATGATTGCCTACTCTTTCTCCTCAGACTCTCCTCCGCGTCTCGCCACGGAGGTAGGGAGACCCGAAGGAAAAAGGGTCTGGGACCATGTGAGACATCCTCGTTTTATCTCCTTATTTCTAGATTTCTATCATGGGCGGCTGAATGCGGGGCACTCGGGCGCCGTGAGTCCACAAGCGGCCGAACGCGGCCGCGCGGCCCATCGCGGACGCGCGAGCGGGCCGCCCTCAGTGAAGCGAACAGCCCCAGCACGAGGAACATCCGCCGCAGCGGTTGGGGGGCCGATGACCACCCGCCCTCAGCAACCCCAACCTGCGCGGCAGAAGACGACGCGACGGACAAGAGAGGAAGGACCGCCGGTCCCGCGCCGAGGCGGCGAACGCGCGGGAGGAACCCCGCGCCGCCCCGACGGAGCAAAGGAACCTGGCAGCCCCCCCGGGAAAGGATGTCCCGCTTTGGGGGCCGTCCCCGAAGGGCGGGGGTTTGGACCCCGAAATCCCGATGCTCCCCGCCTGCATCAAGGAACGCTTTGGCCCGACACCCCGCTTATGGGGCGCCCCTCCGGGGTTCCCTTTCCGTCTCCTCCTCCTCCTCCTCCTCCTCCTCCTCCTCCTCCTCCTCCTCCCACTATTCCTCCTCCTCCTCCTCCTCCTCCTCCTAGACCTCCTAGTCCTCCGAATCCTCCTCTTAACCCTTTCCCTCGTCCTCATCATCGTCTTCCTCTCCACCTCCCCTTCTTCCTTCTCCACGTCATGCTGCGAATGATCAGAGCCTCCGATGGAAGCGGGGTCCAGGACCACGCGGGGCCTCACCCGCGATCGGCCGAGGTCGCCCCGCCGAAGCGCACAGGGCGGCCCCGCGGCCCGAGAGAGGCCGAGGGCGGCAGACCTCTGGATACCCCTGGCCTCCGGGGCCCGGCTGCGGGCGAAGCTCGGCCACGAGGGCGGCGGGTCCAGAGCACGGCGTGGGGCCCTTCGCCGAAGGCCCGCTGCCCCCCCTGAGCGAGGGCCCCGTCGCCGAAGGCCCGATGCCTCGTGGAGGCGTGCCCCAAACCCAGACATCCAGCGTCTCGAGAAAATCAAACTTAGGTTTTTCACCATTTTCGGACTCGGGGCCCTCACTGGGCCTCGGGAGCGTCACAAAACGACTCGGGATGAAAAACCGGCTCTGGGGAAGTGGAGGAAAGGTGGGGGGCCCGCGTCTCGAAAAAATCGAGACGCCGGTGTCCTCCTCCTCCTCCTCCTCCTCCTCCTCCTCCTCCTCCTCCTCCTGTTGTTCCTCGTCGTCCTCCTGCTCCTCCTCCTCCTCCTCCTCCTCTTCCTCCCTAGGCGAGGGACCCGTCACCGAAGGCCCGACGCCTCGTGGAAGCGTGCCCCAGACGCCGAGGGCACTCCCGGGGGCGAGAGCCCGAGCGCGAAGAGCACAGAGCCAGAGTTGCCCCTGACCCTCGTGCCGTTTGTGCTCGCGGTGGCCTTCGCGTTCCCAGGGCGAGCTCGGGTGCGAGGGGTGGGTGCAAGTTCCTGCCAGGAGGCACTGGCATGGGGGGACCAGGTCCTGACCAGGTCCTGGACCCCGGGGCCCTGGACCAGCGCTTCAGCCCGAGCCGGCTCTCGACGCTCTCTGGGGCCCGCGGAGGGCCCCCGAGAGCCCGAAGATGACCACAGACCTCCAGGGCACGCTTCCCTCGGGACCCGTCCGCCTCGTGGCGAGGGGAGCCACACGCGCGGCAGCGGCAGAGTGGCACCGCCCTCCTCCCAGAAAGGCCCCCCTCGCATCCCACCTCGGGCCCCGGCCCCGGCGGCCGCCGCCGACAGCTTGCCGCTGCTGCATGCATGCTGCGTGCCTGCTGCTGCTGCCGTTGCGGTCGGCTGCGCTCGCCTTTGTCTGGGGCCATCAAGCTCCGCTCCAACATGAGGCGGCCAATGTAGGCTGAGCGCAGCCTTTGAATGCTTGGGGGCCCCAAAAGACGTGGCGACAGACCTCTCGTGAGCTCCGAACCCCGAAAGACCTCACCGCACGGTCCATCACCGCAACGCTTGGGGACCCTGGACGCCCCACCCGCCCGAGACACCTTCAGAGGACGGCCCATGGCCCCAGACCGTGCGGTCACCCCGAATCCACGCCGAGTCGCTACACGGTGTGGTCACCGCACCGTGTGGGGCCACCGAGCTTTGCCCGCGGACTGCAACCCATCAGCGCACCGGAGGAACGAATGCTGCTCCTGCTGATCCCGCCGCCTCAGCCTGCCACCCCACCGTCCGCAGCGCCGCGCCTGCTCGCCGCAATCCGATACTCCTCCTCCTCCTCCTCCTCCTCCTCCTCCTCCTCCTCGCTCCTCGCTCCTAATCCCTCCTCCTCCTCCTCCTCCTCCTCCTCCTCCTCCTCCTCCTCCCGCCACCTCCTCCTTCTCTTCCTCCTTCTCCTACCTCCTTCCCTCTCCCTTCCGTCTTCCCTTCTCCTCTCTCGTTTCCTCCCTCCTTCCTCCTGCTCCTCCTCGCCACTTCCCCTCCTCAAGGATAAGGGGAGCAAAGCAAACCGAAGCTGCGGTGGCCAGGGCAGCAAGAACACCTGAATGGGCAAGGAAAGAAGGATCCAGGGACTCCCGCTCCTCAAAATCCTTCTTCTCCTCCCTCCTGCGCATCGTCCTCCCTCCACTTTCCCTGCCCCTCCTCTCCTCTCCTTCCTCTCGCTCCTCCTCCCTTATCCGCCCTCTTCCTCACTGCTACGTCTTCCCTCCTCCTTACTCATCCTCTCTATTACCTCTCCTCTGGCTCCTCTTGCGTATGCGTCTCCTCATCCTCCTTATCCTTCCCCAAGACAGATAAAAAGGGTCTGCCCGACATTCAAAATGATCAGCCGGGCCTCCCTTCAAGTAGAGCCTACGAATAATAATTACCCAAATAGTGTGTGTGTGTGTGTGTGTGTGTGTGTGTGTGTGTGTGTGTGTGCGTGCGTGTGCGTGTGTGTGTGTGTGTGTATGTGTGTATGTCTGTGTGTGCGCAGCCCCTTGCAGCTAAGAACAAAGCTTGAACAGGAAAGTCCGTGGCACCACCAAGCCAATGCCCACTCCTCTTCAATCGTATGCCCCCAGGCGAATCCGCCGACAGTGTAGTACCACCCGGCTACGCGGCTGAGGTTTCCTGCAACCTGCGCCACTTACTCAATTGTCGGCTTCCTAACCCCAGTAGTTCTTTAGTTTTAGTCTCCCCCCTATTCCTCGGGGCAGGGACCAAACTCGCCTGTCCCCCTTCCCCTGCTCCTGCTCCTCCTCCCCCTCCTCCTCCTCCTCCTCGTCCTCCTCCTCCTGTTCCTCCTCCTCCCCCCCTCCTCGTCCTCGTCGTGGCGGAGATGATTTCTCCTCTATTGCTGAGTGGGCTGGATCATGTTGGGGGCTTCCTTCTCCATGGGAATCATCCATTGTTGTGGACTTCTCTACACGCGGGAGGACGTGTGAGCATCTTCTCAGAGGATGGCGATATGAATCAGTGGTTGTCGTTGTAATCGTCGTCGTCGTCGCGGAGGAAATTAGTTTCCCACTAATGTTCGCCGCGCTGGATAATGTCGGGGGTTCTTCCTCCCGACGAACATTGATCTGTGGGCGACCCTGCACGACAGAATAAGTATGAGCAAATCTGTAAGAGGATTACAATGTAGATCGACACATTCTTCCCCGATGGCGTGACTCACAGTCCACTACTCGTAGTCGTAGTCGTACCCGTAGCCGTAGTCGTATGGTGGTTGTAGTCGTAGTCGTAATCGTCGCCGTCGTCGTCGTCGTTGTTGTTCGGCGGGTGCCGCGAAGAAAGAATTTCCAATATTAGTGGGAACCCACTCCGTCAACAAGGTCGCCGAACTGATAATTAGTTTCAAATACTGAGGGGGTTCTGAAGACGTATCGGGGTCACTGTAAACTGCTGCTGTCCGCGCGAGAGGGGGAACGTCAAACCACCCTGTCACCACGGCCTCCTGCGATTCTCAGAACTCTGCGCGGAGCGCTGTGACACGTGAAAATACAGGAGAATCGCGCACCCGACGCGACAACCTTTTGAACATCACACCAGATGCGCGCTCCCAAAGCTAGACTCCCTGTAAACTACACCAAATTCGCTCCGGAGGCGAATCCCAAGATTCGCGCCCACAACGCCTCCCATTCGCGCCCACATACGCTAGACTCGCGCTCCCGAGACCAGAATCCTCGGAAATGTCATTGGATTCGTCCCCACCGAGGCCACTGGGCATTGCTGCCCGAGGCGAGATCCACGGAAATTTCGAAGCTGAACACTGGCGCGCGAGTCGTGAGATTCCTGCCAGGAGCAGGGAAGGAAGGTGAAAGGAAGGTACTGGCCGACTGCGCCGCTCCGCTTCGAGGAGCTGGCGCCGGACGCGACAGAAGCTGCAACCGAGAACCGAGAACGTCTGCTCGGGGCGCGCATCGTGCGGTTTCAACCGCATAGAAACAAACAATCGGGCCTGGTGGGGGCTTCTGGAGGCAGAAAACAGCCCAGAACCTACCGTGCTTGTTGCGTCTCAGAACGGGCGCATGTTCAGCTAAGGAGGAGGAGGAGGAGGAGGAGGAGGAGGAGGAGGAGGAGGAGGAGGAGGAGGAGGAGGAGGAGGAGAGGAGGAGGCGGAGGAGGAGGAGGAGGAGGGAGAGGAGGGAGGGAGGGAGGGAGGGAGGAGGAGGAGGAGGAGGAGGAGGAGGAGGAGGAAGAGGATGAGGAGCTGTGCCTCGGCGCGAGCACGTCTGGGCCCCAGCCCTCCCAGCGCGGATGCCCCCCCCCGCGCGGCTCCGCGGCGCACGTCTCCGCGCGCGCAGTGGCGCCCTCGAGGGCGCGCTCGAGCTGCCCGGCCAGGTCGACCAGCCTGCGGTCCTCCTAGCGCGCCGCGCCGGCTGGAGGGCAGCGGTGGGGCTCGGCGCAGGGATCGGCGGATGGCCACTCGAGAGAGGAGGAGGAGGAGGAGAAGGAGGAGGAGGAGGAGGAGGAGGAGGAGGAGGAGGTGGTAGGAGGAGGAGGAGGGTAGGAGGAGGAGAGGAGGAGGAGGAGGAGGAGGAGAGGAGGAGGAGGGAGGAGGAGGAGGAGGAGGGTAGGAGGAGGAGGAGGAGGAGGAGAAGGAGGTGGAGGAGGGGAGGAGGAGGAGGAGGAGGAGGAGGAGGAGGAGGAGGAGGAGGAGGAGGAGGAGGAGGGGAGGAGGAGGAGGAGGAGGAGGAGGAGGAGGAGGAGCCACGGCACGGACGTGCTCATGCGCCCATGCAGCTTCGCTTCGCCCGCACGCACGACACGGACGAAACGAAACGATTTCCCGTTTGGGGGTCTCCGTTCCACTGCGATCTCACCCCTAACCTCCGATACAATTAAATACGTACAGGTACGCATCTCAGTATGCAGGCATGCTGATATTTACACGTCTGTACACAAATGTGTATATATACACATATATATATATGTGTGTATACCAGGTGTGTTTCTCACTCTCCCGTTCCCCCTCTGCCCCATCTCCTGCCTCGCCCTGCTCGCTCCCCGCTGCGCCAGCATCGAGATGGCGGTTGCGGGCGCCCCCCGTCCTGAGCCAGCTCCGCGATCCTCCAGTCCATGGCCTCGACAGTCCGGACGTAGGACGCCTGTGCCTCGGCGAGACGGCGAGGGCTTAGCTAGCCAGGCAGCGCTCCGAACCTTGGCAGGGAGACGGAGGTGGCGCCCCCCAGGATAGGGGAGCTGGAGAGCAGTGCCGACCCGAGCGTTGTGCGGTGCTGTCTCCCCATCCTCGGGGGCGCGCAGACATGGACTAGCGATCCATGCATTTGGCGCGCGGTCGCCAAATCCATGGATCGGGGGCAGCGCCCTCCCCAGAATGCGGCCGGTGCCGCCTCGTTCTGCGGCAGAGATCCGCGATTTCCCATGGAAACGGGGCCCCGTCGCTAATCCACGTCCCCTTGATCCATGTTTGCGATCGCCTGACGTCCTCCATGCGCAACTTTCCCCGCCCGTGCGCGCGTCCCGGGCTGCTCTGAAGCAGTGAACTCTTGGAGGCGGAAGTCTCCGGGCGGGGCTTCTCCAGGGAGGGCAGGACGAACAGCGGCACGGATCCCCACGAGCGGCGGGGAGGCCGTCGGAGGAGGAGGGGTGAGGAATGGGGGCGGCGAGGACGAGGAGGGGGAAGGAGGAGCGCAGCGCCAGAGGAGCCAGGACGAGGACAAAGATGATGCAGGAGGGGGGGGAAGAGTGGAGACGCGTTGGGAGAATGAGAAACCAGGGGGAACAGAAGAGCGAGGAGGGCAACGACGATGCCGAGTGAGGATACAGTAAGCACACTCGATGAAAAATCTGAGGTTGGTGGGTGAGATCGCAGTGGAACGGAGAACCCCAAACGGGAAATCGTTTCGTTTCGTTCGTGTCGTGCGTGCGGGCGAGGCGAAACTGCGTGGACGCGCGAGAGAAATTAACTTGCCGTTGCTAGGGCGAAGTCAAAACAAATGATTATCCTCCTTTCGTCCGTCCGTCCGTCTGGCGGTGGCCCTAGCGGTGTCCCGCGGTGTGCCGTGGTGTCCCGTGGTGTCCGCCGCTGCTAGGGCGAAGTCAAGACAAATGATTTTCCCTCGCCCTCCCGCCCGTCCGGCTGTGGCTCGCGGTGTCCCGTGGTGTCCCGTGGTGTCCCAAGTGAGATCGATAGTGAGGTCGATAGTGACATCGATACTGAGATCGATGTGGTGCCCCGAAGTGTCCCGTAGTGTCCCAAAACGTGAAATCTATAGTGGGATCGATAGTGAGATCGACAAGTGTCCCGTGGTGTCCCGTTGAGTGAGATCGATAGTGAGATCGATAGTGACATCGATGTGGTGCCCCGAGGTGTCCCGTGGTGTCCCAACAAGTGAGATCGATAGTGAGATCGATTGTGAGATCGACAGGTGTCCCGTGGTGTCCTGTGGTGTCCAATAAGATCGATAGTGAGATCAATCGTGAGATCGATGTGGTGTCCCGCGGTGTCCCGTGGTGATACATGGTGTCCCGTTGAGTGGGATCGACAATGAGATCGAGAGGTGTCCCGCGGTGTCCCGCGGTGTCCCGTGGTGTCCAGTTGAGTGAGGTTGATAATGAGATCGATAGGGAGATCGACAGGTGCCCCGTGGTGTCCCGTGGTGTCCCGTTGAGTGAGATCGATTGAGTCAGATGGTGGTTCTCCCCACTCTCCCCCCGCACAACCTCCTTATCACCCGAAGGGTGGTCGTATCGGTAATGGTATGAGAAACCTGGGGACACATCATTCATCGACCCTGAGCTTCGTGAGGTGCCGCGAGGCTCTGCGGGCGCATCGGGAGATGAGAAACGATCGTGGGGTACCTGTTGGCAGGCCAGTCTATTGTTCGGTGAGCCCGCTGTCCGCCACCGTGCCTGCAAAGCACGGGTTAAAGGGCCCTTCCTCAGGTCCCTTGCTTAATCCCCTGAGCCTCGGTTCCCAATCATGAGAAACTTCTTAATAGGGGCGTGGGGGGAGACGGAGGAGGAGGAGGAGGGGGAGGAGGAGGAGGAGACAGGAGAACACCATGACCGCCGTTAGCAGCAGCAAGAGGAGGAGGAGGAGGACGCCCAAATTCTCACATCTCCCGGGTCACCTGGCGCACGGGGGGGCGTCTTCTCGCGCAACTCTCTTTCGGGCCAAGAGGCCTCCGACCCAACTAAGGGATGATGGCAGGACGGGCCGAAGGCCACTAGACTAGATCAGGGCTGAACCTAAACGGTGTTGTTTGTTTCGTCTTGCTGTTTCGCCTGATACGTCATCACCATGTATGATCCTTGAGCGTCACATGTGCAACATATTCACGGATGGAGGGCGGGAGGCTTTCAAAACTTTGCTCTCGCCCTAGCGCCGCGCATACTCGTTCCAAAACTCCACTCAGCCCTTTAGGGCGCAGGTGGTCTAGAGAGCTTTCTCTTCTCCAACCTCCTTCTTCCCCTTCGGGGGGGAGTTTGCCCCCTTCCTTACCCCATCCCCTGGACCTGGAGGGGGCGCCCCGCGAGCTGTCATCGTGTACTTGTTCGCCCAAGACGGCTCCAAGAGGGCCTCAGAGAGTTCACGATGACCTCCAAAATGGCTCAAGATAGCCGAAGATGCCTCAAGATGGCTCCCAAGATGCTCCAAGAAGACCCAAGAACGCTCCAAGACGGCGCCATGATGCATCCGAGACTTCCCGGAGGCCGCCAAGAGGTCAACATCCTTCAAACACCTAAAAATTCGATGGGTGTTGCCTTCTCGCCTTTGCGCTTCCGATGGCCTTCCGAGGCCTCAAGGTAGCTCCAAGAGGGCACATGAGGGCCCCGAGAGAGGCCTATGAGAGCCCCACGACGGCACCCAAAGTGCCCAAGAGCGCTCCAAGAGCACCCCAAGACCTAAGAGGCGATGTGTGGAGCTCCCGAGGGGGGGGGGGAAATTAGAGCTCCAGTCTTGTTTGATCGATCTCCTCCAAGATGGCCCCAAGAGCGTTCCCAAGGCTCCCAAGAGCGCCTCGAGAGGGCCCCAAGAGGCGCCTAGAAGGCCCCAAGAGGCGCCCAAAAAGCCCCCAAGAGGCTCCCAAGAAACCCCCGGCCCCCTGGACCGCCAAGAGAGCTCCAAGACGGCCCCGAGAGCGCCCCAGAGTGTCCCAAGATAGCTACAAGAGGGACCCTTCCTCGGTGTGGTGGCCACTTCCCTCCTCGGTGTGCTGCCCACTTCCCTGATCGAGGCAACTGCTCTGGGCATCGTCTCCGAATGGGCTGGTGGGGTCGCGCGCAGCGTCAAGAATTCGCAACATGTTCACTATGGAGGGTCGGCCGTTTTCAAAGTGTGGCTCTCGCCTTAGCGCCGCGCACATTCGTATTAAACGTTTGCAGGAGCTTCAATGACGGAGGGAAGTTCGGTTTCAAAAGGCGGCCCCCGCCTTAGTCTTCAAAGTTTGCAACAGCCTCAAGGGTGAAGGGCTGCTCTTTTTCAGTATGTGGCTCTCGCTTTAGCGCCGCGCACATTCGTCTTAACATGTTGCAGCAGCTTCACGGGCTCGTAGGGTTGAAGTCCCGAGAGTGGTGTTCTGGCATGGTTTAGGACTGTCATAACGCAATAGTCACGTTCAATCGCGGTGTTAGAGTCCCAGGAATGGTGTTCTGATACGGTTTAGGGCTGTCAGGGCGTAGCAAGAACGATGATTCGAGGTGATGAAACCTCACGAATTATGTTTTAGCATGGTTGAAGATTATCAAGGGTTTGTCTTTCAATCGGGCATTTCCCGCAATGGAGATACAGTCTTGTGGGGACCTCTTGATAGGGAACCTGGGGGGGAGTGTTTATTGCAACATCGCTGATGCGTCTGTCTTGGGTTTGCCCTGGTCCTCCTCCTCCCTTCCTCATCCTCCTCCTCCTCCTCCTCCTCCTCCTCCTCCTCCTCCTGCCTCTCCTGATGCTCCCCCGCATCCTCCCACAATGTTTCTTGCCGAAATGTTTCCACGATGGCTCGGGGAACACTGAGTCCGATAGCTCGTCCAAGCAAGGGCCACAACTGGCCACATCGGCACTTCCAAAAAGCAAAGGGCGGCGGTGATTCACCGTAGTCGTCTTTGGTAACGAGGAGAAGGATGAGCACGAGAAGAATGAGGAGATGCGAGGACGACCGTCGTGGGGTCTGTGGCGCGCCTTCAGCCGAACAAGAGGGCCAGGGGAGAAGCAAAGAGGGAAAGAGAGAAAGGGAGTGAGCAGCTGCGGGAGGCCGATTAGGAGAAGGGTGAGGACGGACAGCACAAGGAGGCAAAATAGGGTAGGAGAAACTTATGGGAGGTTGTCATCAGAACGATGCACAACTATTAAGCTGGAACAGGGAAGCCAATAAGCCGGACTAGGCCAAATCGCTCCCAGGATTAAGCCAGGATGAGCGGGATCAAACGGGAGTATACCGGATACAGCGGGATCCAGCCGGTGTAAACTAGATTAGGCTGGTTTCCGACCAGGGATATACTAGCACCGATTCTGAATTCAACCATCGAAACCCTCCAACTGACATCTCCTTCCCGAATTGCGACCGCGACGACGGATGACGACCACCACGACGATGGGAACGGGAATGGGACGCTCGCGCGGGCAGTCGCCCGGGCCCCTTAAGGGCGGAGCGGGTGGGGCTGTGGCCTCGCAGACATGGCCGGCTAGCTGGAAGCTTACTCAGGCGGCCGGCACCACAGAAGTATCAGGAGTGGAACACGTGACAAATTGCGCCTCCAGTCTAGTCCAAGTTAAATCGTCGGTCGCCAGTTTAAGCCAAATCGATGTTGTTCACGTCGTAGCTGCTCCGGGCGGGTCTGTCTTTCACGCCATGGGATACGACAAAATCACGCACGTCATCATCCCATCGCTTCGGCTGTCCTCCCGAATTCCTGTTGCCTTTTTGAGAAACATGGAGGCTCGGGTGCCAGTTGACCACACGTTGAGACCATTCTCAAGGGGACTGCTTCGCCACTCTCGCGGCACATCTCCACACCAATCGCCGTTGCCTCGTATTCCAATCGATCACACTGTGCTTGTGCATGAGGCTTTCTGCTTGTCTTGTCGTGCGCTTGATGTATTCGACCCACGGCTCCAAAACAATGCTCTCCGGTGCGACGTTCTCCTCGTTGTCGGTGCTGGGGATGTTAGCCGTGCTGATATCTGCGTTTGGGGGGGTAGATGACGGTCGGTTGAGTTTTGCTTCTCCGTGCGTGTCGTCTTCGTGGGTTTGCGGTTCTGTCGTCGCTTGAGCCGCGCGTTGGTTGGTCGCACTGGATGTCGGTCTCGTGTTGGCGGTGTTGCGTCGTCGTGGGGAGCCGACAATCATTCGTAACATGCTTCGTTGGGTGCATCGTAACTGTTGTCGTAAAGGCTCGGTCAAAGTCCAAGTGGCCGCCCCGTATAATACCGTCGGTGTGACAGTGCCTTCGAAAAGCCGGAGTCGGTGCTTCACGGGGTAGTGCTTCGCTGTGAGTTCCTCTTTGCGAGCAGTGAAAGCTGCCCAGCCTACCTTGATCCGGTGTTGCACCTCGGTGTGCATGGCGTATTGGAAGCTGATCTGCTGTCCCAAGTACTTGACTGACCCACTGTGAGGTAAAATCTCGATTTCCATGCTGTTGATGCTCACCTTGTGCTGCCATGCTCTCCCAGTCCTCTCAGTCAAATTCGTCAGGATCTTCGTCTTGTCCGGGTGGATGTGGAGGCCGTGTTGTTGTGCAGCTGTGGCCATGTGTTCAAGCATTGTCGTCAAGCAGGGTAAGGTGCGGCTCGTCAGAAGGACGTCGTCGGCAATGCGCAGGTTGGTGAGAGAGCAGTCTTTAGTGAAGCCGAGTTGGATGCCTTGGTTGCGCTTTTTCCATGTGTTGACAAGTGGACGCATGATGTGTTCAAGAAGCGAATTGAAAAGTAGTGAACTAAGGGGATCGCCCTGCTTTGTGCCCCTCTGCAGATTGAATGGGCGGCTGGTCGTGTCTGTCCGCACCGTGGCTGTTTGACCACAACGACGATGATGATGGATGACGACGACGACGACGACGACGACGACGACGACGACGACGACGACACCGACGACGACGGACGACCGACGGACGGCAACGACGCACGACGACGACGCACGACGAAAGCCGAGGGAAGACGACGGGCAACAGCCGCCGCCGACGCCAAAAACCAAACGACGACGAGCCGCGGAGCGGCGCCACGAGGCGGCGAGGCGGCGAGGCGGGCCGCAGAGGGGCCTCGCCGAGGTGGCCCTGCAGCTCCTGGAGGGGCCCAGGGACACACGAAGAAGTAGCCACCAATCCCAGGATTCCCCATCTTCTCCTCTTTTTGCTGGGCTTTCGTCTTCCCCCCTCCACTTCCCATATTTTCCCACGTTTTCCTGAGAGTCGCCGATTAACGGTGTCTGTGTGTTTTTGTCCACTCCTGAGCTCCTGGGTCCGGCTCTCCGCCAGCTCCCTGCTGGCCCGCGCGCGCTCGCCCTGGCGGCGCGCGTGCGGCGGCGGAAGGGGAGGCGGAGAGGAGGGGGAGGTAAGCTCGGTGCGCTCGCGCCTCGACTGACAGTCTAGCCCGCCCTCCCATTCCTTCCCCTGGCGCTGATCTTTCTCTATCCGCGGACGCGTGTCATGGCCGGCCTGCGACTCTCACAGAAAGACCACTTCGTGTCATGCGCAATGGGAAGAAGGGGAGCTGCGAGCACAGGAGCGGGTGAGCAGGAGGATGAGCGGGAGGAAAAGTATGAGGACGAACATAATCAGCAGCAGGAACTAAAGCAGGAGGATCAGGAGGGAAAGAAGGACCAGTGGAAGGCGGAGGAGCGAAAATGAGGGGGGGACAACGGTGAACAAAGACTCGGATTCAGAAAAGTGGCCCGCGCTGGGGCGAGACGAAAAGCAACAGCAAGAACTGGAGTGGAAGGGGCGGAAGGAACAGGAGGACCACATGAAGGCGGAGGAGGGGACATGATGGAGGGGGACCACATTGAAGCAAGACTCGGGTCCAAAAGTGGCCCGCGCCAGGGCAAGAGCGCCATTCTGAACGACGGGAACTATGCGCCGATCCGAAAATGAGGCACACGCTGCAGCAGCGGGAACACCATTCTGAAGCACCGGAAACAATCGGATTTAAAAGGCCATACGAAAAATCAATGCTTGAGTTCATGTGCATGAAATCGGCACGCGAAGAGGGCGGGAAATCTTCCGGACTACTTCAGCGGAGGAGGGAGTGTAGTATTCAGATTGCTGCATTGTGAAGGGGGTGAGGAGGGGGGAAGCGGGGAGGGAGGGGAGGAGAAAGGAGTGGAAGACAGGGGAGGGACCAGGTAGGAGGAGAGAGGAGGGGAAAGGGAATGGGCTGGGGGAGGAAGAGGGAGAGGAGGACGGGGAGGGGGGTGGTTAAGGGAGGAGTGGAGGAAGGGATCAGGAGGGGGAGTGAGGAGGAAAAGGTGGGGAAGTGGGGTGCAAGAGGGAAACGTACGGGGTCAGGCTTCATGCGACGTAGCCTGCGTGCGTAATTTCGCAAGCGGACAACACACACAGACATGTATAAAACGTGTATGTGCACCGACTATGGTACGAATGTTAAGCTACGCGATGTTACGTAGCGAACATGATCATGAGTTGGTTGCGCGTGTCTGTGTCAATGCGCAGACGTCTGCTTTATGTACACGCGTGATTTCGAAATCGAATTCATCCTATCAGCCTTTTGGGCGTAGGCAGCCTAACGAGAATTATCTTCCCTCTGTCCAGGCCCTCTACCCCTTCGGGGAGGGTCAGATTCCCCGTCCCCTCACTGATGTTTTTCGCCCCCACCCCCCGCCCCCTTCGCGGTGTGTCAGAAGGTCGTTTTGCCCCAAGAGGGCTCCACAAGGGTATTTGATGCTCCAAGATGGCCTCCAATACGGCTCAAAATAGCCGAGGATGATTCAAGACGGCAGCCATCATGCCTTCGAGAGGCCCCAAGAGAGCCACAGGATGGTTGCAAGTGATCGTGGAGCTCTCCCCTTCAAGAGCACGAGCCTTCTTGCCAGTTCGCTTCCGACGGGTTTGTGAGGCATGAATGGAAATAGGCACTGGACCCTTGCGCACTCACCTAGGGACACGCGTTTGGTCCTAAATCGGTGTGTGATGGTCCCAAGGTCTGTGGAAGGCATAAGCACGCCCGAACACCGGGAGAAACCTGAGGACTCGTTTCCCTCTGGACTCGTTCCCGTCATGGCGACCGTTCCTCAATCCTGTAGCCCTCGGCAGCCTCGGCTTCGGCCCGCAGCAAGGAGAATCGCAGCGATCCCTGCACCTCCGCGGCCTCCTCCAGCTGGGCTTCCAGCGCCCCCAGCACCTGGGCAAAACCGACTACATTGCAACACAGGAGCAGCAGCAATCCTGACGACGAGGACGACGGCGACGAATCGGCGATGATGGCGGCAACACCGATTACCACATCGACAAGAAATCCAACCCATCTGCGCTGGTCGTCTGCGACACATCAGCGACGGCACCGACCACGACATTTAGCCCTCGGCCTTAAAACACCCAACAGGGAACAATGCAGATAGCCATGACGATGAAGACTACGATGACGACGACGATGTCAATAATCACAGCGCTGGTCACTGCGGAAGCGGCGACGACAACGAACATATTGATTCCGGAGGCATGTGACAGGGGAAATAACAAAGAACGAACATGCTGGCCAACAACTTGAACCGAGAGGAGATGAGATGAAATAGCACTTCACTTCCTCCTCTCCTCTCTCCTCTTGCTCCCCCTCGCCACCCATTTTCTCCTCCCACTTTCGTCCCCCTCCTCCTCCTCCTGCTCATGGCGCTGCTGCTCCGGGTTTTGCTCCGCTCCTCCCTGGGCGAGGGTGCTCCCAACTGCCGACCGCGTGCGCTCTTCATGGGAGCCCTCACGAAGCCTCTAACAACGTTGCCAGACAGCCCAACGATCCCCGAGAGCGCCCCCAGCAGGGCCCCGAGATCGTCTGAGAGGCCCCGCAGGCGCCCAAAGCGTCGGAAGATGCGTTCAAGATGGGCCAGGGCGGCCCCAGAGGCTCACAAGATCCGCCCCCCCTCCCCCTCCAAAACTCCACAAGATGGTCCAGGCCCTCCTGAATGGAAGTAGCGCAAGTCTAGACACCGATGAGAACCAGCATAATGGAGATGGTCATATATCGATTGCAAAATCTGTGAGCACACTTTGGGGCATCGATATCAGTGCTTCATCGATATCAGTGAACACGCTTCGGGGCATGCCATGGACTGCCCAACAATGCCTAACGATACCCCTGGACGCCTCCAGCATGGCCTCGGACGGTCTCCTGAAGCGTGCGGCGGCAGCCCAGAGGTGCAGCGAGGCGTGGGCACGCGTCGTGACCCCGAAGACCAGGGGGGCCTGGCCTTCGGAGGAGGGGAGGGGACGAGGAACGACCAAGATCTAGCATCCGAGGCCGAGGCCGAGGCCGAAAGGAAGAAGGGCCTCGACTCCCGTGAAACGTACTGAGACGAGCCGCGGCCCTAGGCACCATGAGCCTGCGAGGACGGAGGAGAGAGGGGGAGGGGAGGGGGAGAGAGGGGAGGTCATGTTGCAGCTTCGGGGGGCCTTGTGCATCCCATCGCGCCGCTACCCGCGTCGATTCCGCGTCAACTCCCTTTCGAGCTCTTCGAATCCGCGTCGAATCCTCGTTGAAGTCGCGCCGAATCCGCGCCGGATGCACGCCGAGACTACGCCAAATCCGCGTCGAGCTCGCGCCGAGCACGAGAGAAAGACACGGCAAAATCTGCAGGACGGCCTCCCCCCCCGAAGAGGCAGTGTTGAGGGTGTGCAGGAGGGAAGGAGCGCGGACGGGAGCAGGACGGAACACCGAAACCCCGAGAGGCCCTCCCGTGCGGGAGGAGAACGGGGTATGATAATGACAGATGACGATTCGTAAATTAATGTGGGGGGGAACGACTAACACAATAGTTTCCGACTAATCGGTTTTCGCTTTGCTTCGGCTCCGTCCTGCCGACTGTCCAGGCGCGCGCCCGAAGAGGGCGGGGGGGGGACGACTGCAAAGTAGTTTCCTGGCCGGGGGGCAATGTTTCTAATCATCATCCTGGGCACCGCCGCGTGAACACGACCCAGGGTATGTTCTTCATCATCATCCTGCATTATAGGCCGCTCCCCCTCCGGGAGGCGACGCCTGCCCTCAGCTCAGAGCTGCGAGGACGCGCTGATCTCCAAAATTGGCGTTCGGCCGCGAGAGCCCGTTATGCGGCCACGGGGGGCCGAGAAATAGATCCGGGACGCAGAACTACGCCCAGGCACAGGGTCGGGAGCTCTAGTGCCACAGAATGAGGCGATCTCATCGGAGGATGCCTGGGGGGCTGCCATCAGTGTCGTTGGGGTGAGGGCCCGGCGACTGCGGGGGTGTCGTAATGAGAGCGTCGCGGACGACACCGAGGGTGAGCTCGTGGGCAAGGCCTCTGAGCTGCTCGACGCGTTTGTGGTTCGTACTCAGCAGGTTGTCGTGGATGCGGATGCGGGCGCGCGCGATTGCCCGCTCCAGGGCGGCCAGAAGATTGACTCCTGTCGCGATCTCGGAGGTAAATCTGCTGAGCGGCTCTTCGCCTGTTATGTACTGGCGGGAGTAGAAAAACAAACACACACACACACACACACACACACACACACACACCGCCGTAAGCGCAAAACTGTCGGAGATCCACGCGGCTCTCGTGGGTCGGCGCGACGGGGGGCGCCGCCAGGGGGGGGGGGCAGCACGCCGAACCAAGCAATGCACGCGGACCTGCAGGAGCGAATGTTGAATGCCGTCATGAGACAAGCGGCCCAGACGGCAACAATTCCTGGTCACCGCGTCCTTCTCTGGAACCACCGCTTCACCCCGACTCGTTTCCAGACGGCCCTGGGGCCCATGGTGGGCGCCCAAGGGGCCCGAAGACAGCGAAACACCTCCAGGACCCCTTTCAATCAAGACCTTCTCCATCCTTGCTGAATTTGCTGCTCCTCCAAAGGAGCCGCCGTCACACGGGTCCCCATGGCAATGAAGCTCTGAGCAATGCAGGTTCATCACGGAAGCCCTCTTGCATCCTAAGACCTCGTCTCCCAAGGTCCCAGCTCGAGGAAGCCCCAAAAGGACGTGAGAGCCCAACCGCGTGCATGAATGCGTCCGCCCATGTCGTGAGGCCGACCTTATGTCACGAACGCTCGCGTATCGCGCTCTCTCGAAACCCATGTGAATGCATGGGCGCGTACGACGTCGATTCCTTCCTGAAGCTGCAAATCCCCGAGCCAATTCCAGGCACCTGCTTATCGGGGTCAAATTTCTGGGGGTCAGAACTGGAATGTTTCCAGTTCCGTTGTGAATTTTGCGCCACATCCAGAAAACTAAAAGAAAATTGCTTCCCCCCCTTCCCCCCCAAGAAGAGCAATGAACGGCGTCCTTGGCTTTCGTGGGAATGCTGGAGATTTCTGCCTGGCAAATTGGGCTTTGCACCCTCGAGGGGGGAAGGTCTGTTGAATTTGGTGGGCAACGCATGGGCGAATGGAAAAATATTAGCTCAGGAGCAGAGAAATTAACCAAGCTAGACCCTGGCGGGTTTGACGCCCGTTATCGGTGTGATCCTAGAGGCCCTCGGAGTCTTCGGAGGCCCCCTGGAGCTCAAGAGCTTATCCCAGAATCCCGAACCCTTTTTCCTAACCATTGTTTTTCGGCTCAGGGGAAGGGGGCTTGGCGGCACCATTGCAGGAGCATGTGCGCGTGGTACTGCAAAGAACTCGCCACATCTTCGTTCCTGTTCTCGTTTCTCATGATGTCTAGACGACGCCCGACGGAAATCGAAAAGCTCTGCGCGCTGCACTCGCAGCTGGAACTCGCTCGTCACGCAGGTGGCCTGTCGGGCACCACCCGCGAGGCCCCAAACCAGGCGGCCCCCCGCCGAGGAGCGCAGCACTAGGGGGGGCCCAAGCATGGGGGACAGACCTCAGATGACTTCGGACGGCACTCGCTAGACTCTCTTGTAATTGGGTTGCCTCGTTGCCAGCGCCGCCACCGCACGCGGCCGCCGCCCGCCGCCGCCGCGGCGCCACGCGCGCGCGCGAGGGGCGCTTCGCCGAGGCCCGGCGCCGACACGCTGCCGGCTTCAGCCCGGCCCCGCGCCTCCTCCTGCAGCCGGCGGGCCTCGGGGCGAGCCGCCGGTGTCGCGTTGGCGGGCCGGCGGGGGCGCGCCGACCCGACCGACCCCAATCCATTCCTCACAGGAGGAGGGCGGGGTTGTTTCAGGAGCGCGGTCCGCTCCCCCGCTCGTCCGCCACCTCCCTCCTCCTCGCCCCCCATCGAGCACCGGCCCCTCCTTCTGCTCATCGTCGTCTTCCTCCTCCTTCTCCTCCTCCTCCTCATGTTTCTCGAGTTTCTCCATTCGAGGCCAAATCCCCGACCCGCGAACGAGCGAACATCGGGCCCAGTTTAATGAGAACGACCGCAGGCCTGGGCGAGGTCGGGGCTGCTGGCCTCCCAGCAGCAACCCGACCCAGCCCAAGCTCACGCCAGTCGTTATAAGGGAAAACTCCAACAAAAACGCACCTTACTGGACGGATCCTTGCGTTCGCGGGGCATCTTGCAGCTCCATGCAGCATCCTTCTTGCGTGGGTGGTCGATACACTTGGCAACTAAATACTGCGATCGCTTGTTGCCGAAAGTACCGCACTTCCAACACCACGAGACCTGTCCCCCCCCCAATGTACAACCTGTGGGAGGGGTGGGCAGTACGGGCTGCCTTGGGCACCCCGACACACGGACACTTGCAGACACTTGCACTACTGCCTGCCTTCCCACAGCGAACACACTGATACTTGTAACTGCGCCCTGGGAGACGGGACCTATCCAGCTGATGGCCAAGCGTATCGGGCACAAGCTCGGTACCTCCTGGGCGCTGTCCGAACTTGGCTCGGACCCTCTCGACATCTGGGACTCGGAGACGGGAGAGGGTTTCCCTAGTCTCGTGGATCACGCACGCGCTGTTGGCGACGAGCTCCGCCTGCTGTGCGTGCAACTGCTTGGCACGAGGAAGGTTATGGGGATGCACTGCCACCCCTAACTTGGCAAGGCGGTCCGCCTCGCGGTTGCCAGCCCACACCCAGTACCGAAAGCCTGGGTCGAGGGCGGCCCGACGAGACAGATGGCTCTTAACTTTCGTGAGGGTAATGTTGTGAATCCATACGTCCTCTCCCCTAAAAGAAATGTCGCACCATAGCTCGCTACAGGCGACTTTGGTGAGGTCCTGAGAGGGCCCCTTCTTCCAGAAATCGCAGACCACCTGGCAGTCAGTGATCAACTCCGTAGGACAACCCCCTACCAGCCTCAAGGCAGTCAAGACGGCGAAGACCTCGCCCACCCCCGCAGACCGGAGCGGATGGGGGAGGGGTCCAAGACGCGAGCCCGACATGCTTCCCCCTTCATCGACAGCCACAACCCCCCACCCCGCACGCGAGCACCAATCAGTGTTTGAGCCCAAAGCAGAGCCATCCAAACAGATTTTGCCCGTGTCCAAGAGGCCAGAGGGGGGGGGGAACGCTCCAACGCCACCTGGCATCGACCATCGGGGCGGGCCAAGGCCCTCGTCTCCCGCCTCGTGGCCCTTGGTTAGAAAACTCTCCAAATCTAGGGATATGCGGAATCCGATGCCAGCGTCGCACCCGTGGAACCTGCGTCGGGGCGCCCCCGCCAAGGCCCCGCACCACCTGCAGAGGGGGGACAAGACTCGACGTCCGAAAAAAAAAAGCCTGCTGCGCGGCAAACCCACCCGCAACAACTCCAGCAACGAGGGGCTTCTAGCCCCTCGCCTTGGGCGCGCGCGGCCTGCGACTTCCGAGCGATCGGTTTCAGCAACGGGCCAGCGGTCGAATCGCCCACTTCGTTCCCGACATGTTGCAAGAGCGACCCCTGGGTTTCCTTGCTGATGACGGCTCAGAGGTCCTCTTGCCCAGGGTGCCAAGACCGACTTCGATTCCACGTATGGCAACCCAGGACCGATGCCCTGGGACCTTCCAGCCGAGCCTCGTCAAGGTACACAGAACCGCCCCCGCAGGTCCAGTAACCTGCCCTCGTCCGAAACCAGGGGTGCGGAGGAACGCATCAAAACTCTTCTTGAGCTGAGCTTCGGGGGCCCAGCCACGGCGCAGGGCCGGGCGCCAGCTCGGGAGAGGGGCAGAGTTAGCCGAGAAGGCGGGGTCAGATTTGGAATCCCCGCTGAGCTGGCATTCGAGCGCCCTGGACCTTCCCTTCGGCGCCCCGAAGATGGCCTGCCCCAGGATCGCGCGGATCTCGGCAAGGCGGGCGTCGGCAATCCCGATCACCGCGCCGCCGTGGCTGACAGCAGGCAGGCCTCCAGTTGCGGCCGCCTCCACGGCCCCGCGGAACGCCGAGCGAAGCCCGCGGAACCTGCTGATCCTCTGCATCACGGCTGTCATTCGGCCCCGCTGGACCACAGTGCTGCGCCTGCGCCGTCGGGCCGAATAATCACCCTGAGGATTTTGAATCTCCACTTCTTGGCGAATTCTGAAATCAGCCCCCATGCCCCGCTGTCGGCGGCCATGACCACGCCTGTGTCCTTGGATTGGACCAAATGGAGGCCCTGGAGCTGAAGCAGGAGGCAACGCGCCGCAGCTCCCACTCGCTGGCCGAGGTGAGAAAGGGCGCCCATGCCAAACAGCGCGATGTCATCCACCGCGCGAAACACTCACAGGATCGGCCAATGGAGAGCCATCGCGCACAGGGGGCGAGGAGGATGAGCTTCATCAGAGACGCTGCATATCCACATCCTGCGATGATCCCCTGGCCTGCATGCGTCGCGCCTGAAGTGATCTGACTCATGAACAGGACTTCGCGCGCCTGGTAGAGTCGGAGCACAAACCTCAGGCGCAACTGCGGGAATCCATGCCTCCTGCCGCATGGGCGAGAAGGATGTGCAAGACCTTTTCACAGGCCTTGGTTAGGTCCACCAGGGCCGCGCAAGTGCCGATTCCTATCAGGATGCCGAACTCGGCGGCGTGCGCTTGCTCCCAGACCGCGCGCTCACAACTGCGACCCGCAGACCCGCAGTGACTCATGACTCGGCAGATCCCTGGATGGAGGTCCATGGGGCGAAACCCAGTCAGGCCCGGGAACGAGGGCAGTGAACACAATAACCAACTGGGCCGGCACAGGTGCACTTGCGCGTCTCGATCTGGATAGCCTTGCGTTTGCCCGCGCTGGCCGCGGTATCGCGGGGCAGGTCAGGCTGCGCAATCGGGTGGGCAGGCGGCTCGGGCAGGCCCCCTGCCGTCTCTCTGCCTCGGGGGAAGATGCGCGGGAGTGCGGCGGCCCCGTCGGGCCACCTGCCCGCGGGGCCGCCCGCTGCCTTGCCTGGGCGCTGCCCCTGGTCAGGCTCGCGTCTAGGCGCCGCCGAAATCGTCGGAGTCGTCGGCGCCCTGCAACGAACAAGGCCCTCATGTGGTGCGCTGCGCCGTCCCTCCAGCGATCCGTCTGACCAGACCCCAGGCCATGGGTGGCCCGGCTCATCCGAGGGGCGCGCCTGGAACGGCGCCTCCACTTTCTCTGGGGCGGGAGCGCGGCACCAGTCGACAATCGAACCGAAGCACTGGCGGCCGCCCCCCTCGAAGCCGCCGATGAAGCTACCCCTTGCTCTCCAAGGTTGCCACCCTTTCTCTTGGACTGCGCCGGCGGCGGCGATGGCGGTCGGGTCCACGAGCGCCCCATGCGGGGCGGGTGGTCCTGACCTCCATGTAGTTGCTGATTTTTGTCACTGGCATCGTGTACTTCTCCCCCCCTGGAACTGTCGGCCAGGGTAGCGAGGGCCCCGTCGCAACGCAGATGCCCCAGTGGGGGGGGGTAAACTGCAGACGGCCTCAGCCCCTTCCCGCCAAGAGGTGCCTGGCTGCCTCCGAGAGCCTGCGCCGTCCTCGCACGGATATCGTCCTCCGCGAAGCCGACCTGGGCTTTGGCGCTGCCGGGTGCTGGGGCTGCTGCCGGTGCTGCTGCGCAGGCACTACCACTTCCTGCTGAGGCCCCAGGGGCCGCGCTGCTTGCCGCGGCGGCGGCTGCGCCTCCCACGCCTGCTGCCGCCCAGTGATGTACTGGAACTGGCTCGCCTCCTGCAGGCCCCCCTTCTCCAGCTCCGCCTGCCTCGCCGCCAGGGGGGGTGGGCCGAACGCGTTTGCGACCGGAGCGTTGCAGGTGGGCAGTGTGCTCCGCCTTGATGCTCTCGACCTTGGCCATGGCGTCGCGGAACATATAGGTCGTGGCTGTTTGCATTTGCGTGCGAGGCTGCTCCTTTCTATCTTCGAAGATGTTGACGCCCTCGCGAGTGTGTTCGATTTCTTCCCCAACCTTGAAGAAACCATCGATGTCGATGAGAGCTGCGATGTCAGACTTGCCGTCGGCGACGTCTGTGAGCGGGACCTTCCCACCTGCTGCTTGCCGCGCACAGTCTCCATCCTTACAGACTCCATATTTGCTGACTGTCCCCGCAAATTCCAAATCGATGGTGGCGTACTCCGCGTCCGCCTCGGCCAATGCCGTCTCCAACTGCTTGACGCACGCTGACTGAATCTTGACCCATGTCTGGTGTTTATCCAGCTTGTCGACCTCGTCGCGGAGAGCCTCCTCGAGCTTCTGGATGTAGACATAGCGCTCTTGGGCTCTCCCCTGGACTGTGTGGGCCCTCGCCTGAGAGCTTCGAGTTGCGCCACGTACTTACGGGTTGTGGTCTGGTCTCCCATCATGTTTGCCAGCTTGATGCCGTTTTCGAGGTCTTCGGCGGTTGGACCGTCTCCACCTCTGCCGTTGGATGTGCCCCCACGAGACTCCGGTTCGCCTGGGTGACCATCGCGTGCTTGCCACGCAGGTGCCCGAGAAGGCCTCCGAACACGACCACTGCTGGGAGCCAGACGAAGGGCGAGCTCACCCGCATCAGTCAGGGCTTCGACGATCCACTCGAGGCAATGCGAGGAGCGGTCGAACAACAACAAGTTCTTGTTGCAACCGCAGTACGCGCATGTCCACATTCTCTCTTGGCGCGGTCCTCTGGGGGCGCCTCGGCGAGGGTGCTTGCCGCTGCCGTTGCTGCCGAGCTCGGGTCCGCGGCCGTTGCGTATCCATGGTCCATGCTGCTTCTTTGCCTC